GTAAAACAAGAAGTATTTTCAGCAGACTTTATGTACGTACGTCTAAGTATAAAAATTCCACTATACCATATTTGGCATGTATTTTATGTGATGAAAATAGTGTCAGGCACGAACTAACTAACCTTCTTAGCACCACTAAATAAACCATTTCCTTTACCCTTATAACATCAACCCGTATTGTTATTGTACTTCTTATATTTACAATCCTCTCAATTTTTTCGTTTTATTTATTTATTTCATAAGTGTGAACATCATTTTAAGCTGTATTATAACTGTTAATTTTGTATTTCCCCTCACTATGCTATATCAACAGAACATTAGACCCAATAATCTATAACATGCCAAAGTTCCCAAACTGAATCGGCAATACCATTTGAAACAAACTCACTGTTATTATTATATCTAATAATTATGTCGCAAATGTGGACAAATTCCTCCGATTAATTTTGTTTTAATTTTTAATTATATATATATTTTGAGTAAATCAGACGCAATATTGTGACAAATACTGAGAATTCCACCCTGTATCATAAGCACTGTTTTTGGAATAAAGTAAATTATTATTATTGTGGCACAAGGTTCGTTAGCTCCACTAAGCATTTTACCGATCGTTGTATGAGCTTCTGGCACGTTGCAGCCAATAAGCATCTTAATTTCTCCATTCTTAACCTCCGGTAAAACTATTCCATCTAGGTGACTCCATGAGGCCATCTGATCTGCTGTTGGCACAACCCTTTGTAACTGTGGCAACCTCGGTACTGTTTGTGCTTTGGAAACAGTAACATGAAGGGACGAATCCAACGGAGAGGCTTCTAGTTGTACCTGTCTGCAAGACAAAGTGGATTGTGAACCAAGCATCTTAAGGGAGACCGTCTTAGTTGCTCCTACTGAACATAATTCTCTTGCTAGATCTTCTGTGACCAGTGTTGCATCTGAACCGCTATCCAAAAACGCACAGGTCCGAACAACATTACCATTATATCTGGCTAAAATGGGCACTATAGTGAGTGCTGTCTCACTTGTCGGAGTCTTGTGCAAAGTCATATCACTACACTGTTGAGCGTTGATATGCACATCGTATTTTATATCATCGGATAATCCCTGGCTTCTGTGCAGCAATGTGTGGTGTCTCCAACTACAACCTTCAACTGTACAGGACCTTGGAGAACGACGATTCTTTGCTATATGATTTGCTTTTAAACAGACGTTGCATAGTTTTCTCTTGGAAACAAATGCCAGACGTTCATCAATGTATTTATCTTTAAACTCCGAACACTGGTCTAGGAAATGTCCTCCCGAGCGTGATATACAGGGTGGGGTAAATAAACGTGACTCATTCTCAGGATCATTATTCGGTTTTTCGACATTATTCTCTGAGAGCTGGGTAACAAACACTTAGTGTTTAGAATAAGAGCTTTTCTCCGTAGGGATGCTAAACTCTTTACTATTTTTCCCGTAGAATGACCATTGATTAGCAGCCCATACCCGGTGCTAGCCATTTCTGGCTGCTCCTTAACAAACAAGCGTAAGTCGCCAAATGATGGTTCGCGACCGCTCATGACGTTGAAAGCGACCTTTATCCATTCTCTCTGTGAATGGACAGAAAGTTTTAGAACTAGTTGTTCAATGGTTTTACCAGAATTCAAGTCTGAAACATAGTTCATCTGCTTTAATGTCAGTTCGCAAGCTTGCATCTCCTGAGATAACTTTCTTGATAATGCTGCATCGTTGCTTTTAACAGTTGGAAATTCCAGCACTTTCTCTATGAAAGTCCGGGCCATAACATATCTTTGCCCAAATGCTTCTTGTAACAGTTCTAGGGCTTTATAATAACCTTCCTCTGGCTCTAAAAAACACAATGTTTGATTACATCTTTACTTCTCCCTCACAATACTGAATTAAGCAATTTAGCTTAGTTCGGTGTCCAATAGCATCACTATACATCAAGTCTTCAAAATTCTTTATAAAATTCCAATAATTTACAGGGTTGCCGTCAAACTTAATAATCTCTCATTAAGCATGTCCAGAAACTTGGGCATGGCTCTGGCGAACTCATCGCCAGGGGATATAACGACTGTATGAGAGGTAGAAGGCTTGCAAGGCGACTTTTTATGATCAGAACATTCATGACTAATTTGTCGTAATCTTTCCAATTCAATTTCTTTCTCTATTTGGACTAAAAGCATTTCTGCTAGCTCCAACTCTACTGTATGGTTTTATTTATACTCGTTCCTTCCAGGGGCATCAGTCTCACTACTCTTTTCTCACTGTGGAGTTAACGCCAGCATAGCCTCATATTTTTCGTCTGCCATTAGAGTTCGAAACTTTATAGGAATAATTTTGAATACAGATTTAGCCTTTCCGCTCAGTATTGACAACACAGAGTCTTGGCTTAACTATAGTTAAAACAGAGTGACTTGACTTAAACTTTATCTGTTTCTAAAACATAAAATAATTCGTACAATTACACCAAGAAAAATATATAAACACATCGTCACTCAAGAAAAGACATAAACGCACCGAACAGTATTGAGGGAACGGACAAAATGAACAGTTAATTAATTACATGTACACACAAATAAGGTGACAGAAAACAAAGAACGCCGTAGGTCACATAACGTGGTGTGAGTTTACATTAGATTAACCAATAATCACGACAAACAAGTCACATCATATTGATTGGTCCTCTATCATACAATCTACCTATCTGTCGCGATTAACAGTCATGATATAACAACCTACCAAAAAAGACATAACATGTGCCTGAAAAATTGTTGTAACTACCCCAGTAATTAGGAGGGAGCAATCTGAAAATGATTTACCAAACTGTCAACCATAGAATGAAGTTATACTTTTCTCCTAGAAAGTATCTGACTTTTGGAACACGGCGAGTTCTGCTGGGACTTTCCGAAGAAGTTTAGGCAGTTACGTTGATATGCATGATGCTCCTTATAAATACATATAGCATCATTAAGGTTATGTCTCACCAAAAGTATTTTCTAGTGCCTGTGTTTACTTTTCTTCTTGCTCCCATTGATCTCCCATTTAATACATCCTTTATAACGTCCAGTTCAAACTCATTTCAGTTTTCCTACACCATCAACTCCTAAATTGTACCACAAAGGTGCATCACAGCATCATATATATTTTGACATTAATTGAATCTACAGCGCGCAAATATGTTTAGTAGCCGGCTCTTCTATCGAGATAGTTACTCAAATTATAGGTCGACAACCCATGTTACTGTAGGAAACGACTACACGGTTTGAACGTTTATTTTTGAAAGCACAAGGGTGGTCAAGTAAAGCCTAGAGAGCTAGTCAAACACACGGAAAGGCCCTTATTATTCAGCATCCTCAATAAGTAACGAGTACCCTACAAATTACAAAGCAGATACAGTTCATGCATGGTTATTCGTCTCATCCTTCTGGATTCATTAACCAATAACTACCTCTGAGTGACCAGAAAGTCCTGTGTTGTAGAGACCCTACATATGTACTCCACAGAGAAAATTCACTTCTTTAGAAGTAGATTCAGGCAATCGGAGAAGGACCTATCGTCCAACGAGGATGAAATGATGTCTCGTTTTGAAGATGCAAGTGTTATAATGATACGAGGTTTCCTTTATCCCCTTGACTGATGCTCGATGTTCTCGTGTGATCAAGAGCTAGCTATTTTTCTAAGCATCATTCATTGTCTATTATTTCCAGCACACCCTATTGCTCTGACGGAAGCAAAATTTTTCTGATACGTATACTAACCAAACACTCTCCAAGCTTCACACATCTTTCTAAGTCCCCGAGATCAACCACAGTCGGGGCAATTATTGTGGATCATTCCTTAACACACAGAAACCATCAAAGGGAGACCAAATGTATTGCGGAGAAGTTGAAGATTAACAATCAAAGTGAACGACTGCTAAGATGACTCAGAAACAAATTGTCAGGAAGAAGGCCATTCTGGGTGAAATGCATTTCTTGTTGAGAAAGGCGCCTACAAGAATACAAAAAGTCAAACAGAATATCTACCTCATGCATTTCTTTAAGAATAATTCAGTTAATCAGTGAGGTGTTAATACCGAGATTAAACCAGTTTCCGTACATATATTCACCTTAGTCACTATAAACATCACCACTTTGTTTCCTCCTATAGCCACCATCCAATTTTCATCCCATCTCAAGCCCGAGACAGCTCCAGGTGCTACCTATGACCGAAAGGGTTGCAATTGAACGGTTAAAACCAAATTTATGCACTCCAAAGAAAACCGCTGTAAACCTACCCTAACCTGGCGAATACAATTGACGCTATTTGATCGTTTTTGTTAGTTTTCTTATCTTAATTGTGTATCGTTTTGACAGTGTGATTTCTCACTCCAATTTTGTCTTTGTACGTATTCCTGACCAGATCGATTTCGACTTCTTACACTTACATAGGTGTGTTGCTGATTTTACGTCCCTATTCAATCTGTAACATACATTCGCGATTCCAGAATGTTTATTAATTATTTCTATACACACTAACGAGCTTAACATAAGTATCTTGCACAATATATTCTGGCTTTGTCCAACTTTCCATTGATTTGTTATGCGTGTTTGATATAGGATTCACAAAGTTACTAGAACGAATCACCCCGTGGTAGATATAAACCAAAGGTTACAAGCCGTTATCTACTGAAAGTTCATCTGTATGAACTGGGGTTCTTGGCGTAACCACAATTTGTACCATTAGGGTGCTTTGGTAAATCCTAACTGAACTGATCAACTTACCATCTCGAAAACAAACTCTTCAACTTCAACTCGTTTTTCTTAAAATAAGTCAGTTTTTAGCTTCAGGTAGACGTCGGATGTGCACAGGACTCCATCAAGAAAAATGTATCCTTCGTGTTGTGCCATTATCTTCCAATAGGTCTAGGTCGTTTGTTGAATCGGCGGGAAATTGGAGATACGTTCAGCATTTTCGTAGGATTATTTGTTTATCACCTATCCATAGTGTGTCTTCAAATGTCTTTTATCTTCGATGGCATCAAAAAGGCGTTAGGCTTAGATAATAACAGGTCGGTGATATTAGATTCCTTAGATATTGAAGGTAAACTGTGCTATTATACGGGGTTTATTTATAATCTCTCAGGTGTGTCGAAATTAATTCTGAACGGCCAAGCGAAGAAAATAGTAACTATGGTTGGTGCAGGCATATCAACAGGTTAAGTGTATGCGCGGAAAAATTTTTGTCTTTACTAAAATAACTACTTTATCGGGCAGTACTAAAATACGGTACACATAGGCAAAATTCTTACTCTCCAAACCCTATTAAGGACCAGTAACTATTCTCTCAGTAGAATATAATCTTTAGACGATTTTTTAGCCATATTTTCAGGATGGTCACGAAAGAACCTGAGCCTTCTCTGTACACGTATACACTAATAATAATTATTATTCAGCATACAGACTTTTAGGCCTTTTTCATTCCACCGTTCATTATGTACAGGAACAGTCTGTTTTTCAGAATTTCTAAGTGTACTCGAATACCATTGCTTTGTTGTTTCTTTGTTGTCATAAAAATTTAGCTGCTGGAATACCTGATTTCCGTAGTCCATCTTCTGGTTTATACGATAATCTACAGGAGTTTAATCTGTCGAATCCCATGGAAATATTTTCTATCGACTACTTTCGCGTGAGTTCTTTCGTCTAACCAAACATTTATTTGATTTTGTAGCATGACCCAGGGCCATTCTTTGAGATTGCAAGACGCGTGTATAAACCGGAAGCAAAGGCATGCACATTTGCATAACGTAATGTTGAAATTTAGCCCACACTGGCCCATTATTTTATCAGGTTGCTTCATGAGAAAGGTTTGCTACTGAGGCATTACACGCAGGTAAAAAAAATCATCATTCAACCTTGTGTAGAATGTTGACAATTTGGAACGTTTATCTGGTCTGCCAGAAGAAAAGTTGGTTGAAGCCCATGGGACATTTAACACCGGTCACTGTATTAAGTGCAAAGAGCAATATGGTTTTCACTTCATGTTAGGTATTTATCATTCACAACTCTAAACGAATTCTTCCGTGTATTTGCAGATGAAATTATGGCCAAGAAAACACCTAAGTGTCTCAAGTGTGAAGGCGTTGTCAAACCTGGTGAATGATTCTTTCCTATTAGCTCATTATTTTCAGATGTTGTATTTTTTGGAGAGAATATGCCCAAGGTATTTTACAAGAATCTTTCTTCAGTAAGTCTCATTTCTATATGTGTGTATGTGACTGATCAAATTTTGAATAGAAATTACGTAAGCATGTGACCTAAATAGTTCAAACAAAATTAATCGTAGAGCTCTAATCTTATCCATAATGGAGCTCTAATAAATATTCTTGTTGGAGTATATCACTAACCATAATCAAAAACTATCTTTTGTAATGGACTATGTGGCAAAGTTTCACACCATGGACCGTGTAGAAGCCGTGCAGTGTACAAGTGTGTAATGCAATATGTATTCGTTTCCACATGCTTCCTTTATGATTATTATAACTACTCTAGTCCACTCTGCGACCCTGTCAGTGTCGAAGAAGAGTGGTCATATTTTAAGATCTTTCCATACTAAAATGTGGGTGGTTTTCCAACTCTTTTGTGAGTAAATGCTCCTGAAATCAGTCGAAACCACTACTGTAAGCAGCTCAGAGACCATTAGAACTGGTTGGATGCCGCGGAAGTGAATGTGGATTCTTGGAAATAAGTTAGTAAAGCTAAGAAATGTTTTTATCATCTTTCGTATCTGCCGTTTTAATTGCTAACCTAAGATTACTGACGTTATGGCTTTTGTAGCCAACTGCCTTCGGATAGTGTTACAGGCTTACATTTTGTTTTACTTCTATGTGTGGGAACAGCCATGTGGTATAATTAGTCGTCATACGATAATTATGGCCGTAAATCTGCAGGTAATTATGGAGATGCATTTTTGAAGTTTCTGTTTTAAACAAATGAATTAAGCTTTCAAATGTATTAGCATAGGCAACTGGTGTGATTAACGTATAGTGTTACTTATTCATTCATGAAGCTAGAGCTTGTTCCACTATGTCATTAGGTTGATTTAGTCACTGTTTATAGTCCTGTGTGTGAGTGTCTGAATTTCATACCTTCAGGACGCTTTTCAACTTTAGTGTTTTTAATATCATTAGGTTTAGGCATTGGAATGACATTTGTCAACCCCACCGATATTTGCTACCGCGATGCCTCAACAAGCTACACTGGCTGGAACTAATGGTCCTGCAAGTCCAACCATGCCAGGAAGATTGTAAGGATAGCGATTAGACTGAAAGCAGTTACCGGCACTATGTTAGAATGTTTTATTTACTATGCTGGGGGTCTGTGGACGAAGTCGTACTAACTGAATGGTTTCAACATAGAACTTTGCATAGATGTGCAGCAGTTCAAGCCGCCACACTCCATGTAGCACACAAAGCAAGCGAAGAAAGTAAAAGGAAATACAAAACAGAGATGACCAACGGAGATACAAAGCAAAAAGAATAGTAATATCGAAGAACAATATAGTTTCATTGGGTATTATAAGTCACAAGGAGTGGATGCATCTGCGCCATTGAGAACAAACTTTGAGCCATATCACCGACTGTCTCCAGCCATTGGTTTTTACCGTCCCGACGACCCGAACCAAAAAGTCTACACTACTAACTTTAGGTTTCAGGTTGTTGACAGCTTTTACAACTTTCTGCAGCTAACTGTATGTTGTGCCAGGCTATCTCAGGGGAAGTCCTGCTGTCGACCTCAGATACACGTTTCACTATTTCCTCCTTAAATATGGACTCAGAGTCTCGATCCAGTTGGGGACGTAACTGCTTCGCTGCCAACAATTTTTTATGTTCGTTTAGACGTAAGCATAAACGTGCACGAACCAGGGCGTGATCGGAGTCTACGCACGTGTTCCAGAAGGAGCGGCAGTCTTCTACTGACCCTCGCCAACGATACCCTATCGCTATGTGGTCTATCTGAGTCCAGGGTTGATTTGGTGATGGAGGTCACCAGGTTACGCCATCTCTCTCCCTCTTTGTGTCTAAAGTTAGTGCTGACTAGGAACAGATGATTATCTCAAGAGGAGACGATCACCGTTGTCGGTTCGTCGGCAGAGAACTCCATACGTACCACATACATACTTCTCAGCCTGGCACAACTCTCCTACTTGGGCATTGAAGTCGCCTGCTAAAACAACTGTATCTGAAGGTTTTTCTGTTTGCAGCAGATTAGACAGTTTCTGGTAGAAGTCATCCTTTTAGTTCATCCGAACTGCAGTCTGTTGGGGCGTAAGCGTAGACTGCGAAAAGACAGCGATGGGTAACACCGGACGCATTCAGACGGACTGCACACATACGACTATCTACTGGGACCCAGTCAAGAAGTGATTTTTCTGCTCTAACACTCAGTGCTATCCCTACACCTGCGAGTCCTCACAAACTAGCTGAGGGGTCTCCTGACACCCTTAAAGTGAATTTCGCAGATTCACCTTGTTGGCTGGGTGGGGTTAAGTGAATGACCACACTCGGGTCTTGTATGCGTGTCTCCGAAACACATCATACATCCATGGCTCGAGATGTCAGAGGGTTCTGACGTTAAATGCTCCTATATGAAGTTGGCGACATGGCTTTAAGAGGCTGTCGGAGGTGTTTCTTTGGCACTCATAGTTGTTTTTGGTCACAGAGTGAAGTGAAAATGACTCACTAGCCTGAAGAATAGTACCGACTGTAGTAGGGAAGTAAGATAATGAAGGTGATGTGGGTAAAGGAGAATGATGTTCAGGAAGTCCTCGTCCTCTTATCAGAATGTGGCCGGTTGTTACTTCCCGGGTGACCACACTATGGAAGTTGGTTGTTTCTTGGGGCACCTGAAAGAGAAAGTGTTGCGTGACCGCAGAGCCCAAGGGACAACTGCTTGAGGCCGGTCACACGGCCAAAAAAACGGTTTTGAACCCCCATAGTCTTCACAAGACTGTGCAACGTAGAACCTTATGTACCACATAAGTTAAGCTTATCTCCCTATGATTATCACAGGATTTGTTTTATTTTTTACTAACTGAAATGATCAACAGTCTGACGGGACCACCGCATATTCCCATATGCTAAATAGTGCTTTAATTAATCTAATCAAAAATTCATTACCACCATTCTTAAACACTTCTATAGTCATATCATCAAATTCTGCCACTTTGTCTTGTTTTGCAACTTTGGCTACAGTTGACTGACTGACTGGTTCCAACGCAGGACTTTGCACATATGTGCAACAGTTTGAGTTACGCACTCCATGTAGCAAGAGAAGAGAAAAGAGAGATATTCAAGAGATAAATAATGAACAGAAATATGAGACAAAAAGAATAGTAATATAGAAGAACAATAGCATTTTATTGAATATTATAAATCACAAGGAGTGGATGCATCTGTGCCATTGGCTACAGTTAGACAACTGATGTTTATAATGTATTCATACCGGAGTTAGATGGACGGCAACTGGAGTGCAGCTATAGAATTCACAAATCCCGTTGTCAGTAAACCGACAGCATGTGACTGCTCTCAACCAGACACTCAATGAACTATGTATCAGCACTAAATAAGATAGAAAAAAACTAGAGCAGTAGGTTTACGGTTTTCACACTTAGTATTATCCGTTCACCGGTTAGTCTACAAAAGTAGTGAGAAAATTCCGACATCCGTGCCTACCTCTATACAGGCAGGCAATCATATAGTATCCCAAGTTCGTATACATCGTATTTGGCTTTTAATATAGTATATAAGGAATCCATTCCATTATGGAGAAAATTTTATTTTGATAAAGCCTCACTGTGTCATATGTTAATATTTGCTGGTAATGTTTGGTAATATTTGGTAATATTTACTGATCACCAAATATTACTGTCTAACATTGTGAGACTTAATCAAAATAAAATTTCCTCCACAATGAAATTATACTCTATCACAGTGCCGAAGTTCTATTCTTATATTAAAGAATCCTTTATTGGGTGGCAGTTTTATTTATTTGAATTGCTAAATTATAAGGATGATTCAGAGATGCACTTTGCCATCTCATATTCCTAATCCGTATTATGAATTTTTAACTGGAACTTATCAAAGTTACTGTAGTTGATTATTTATCTTTTCACCAAATACGCTTAACTTATGTGTCAGAAGTTCATAAAATAAACTGCAATGTTTCGAACAACCTTACGACTGTTGATACTCAGTTTAGTATCGATTAAGTGGATAAATGTGGGTAGCATTGACTGTCATCCGTATAACTATGTGAATGCGCTTGGTTATTTACGCGAAAGGATTGTGGCTATCAGCTTGGTTCCGATAACTGGTCTTGTTCTTAATAACACGTTAAGTGTTCTGATCAAAATCATGCTATGCACCTGTAAAAGTATGTGATACTTAATTCGTATCATGCAAGTTTTTGAACATTTTACACTATTTTCTGATTTTTTCTGTCTTTGTAAAACAAGGATTTCAGTGAATGTGATCTACTTATCATAATGGGCACTTCCTTAACTGTATTGCCGTTCTGTGCTCTTATTCATCGTGTTGGTACTAATGTTCCGAGACTGTATATCAATCGTGAGTTCAGCGATGGTTCTACTGCTTCTGTAAGTTCCTATGTTAGGGTGTCAACTTTGTGAATAATTATCAATAAATTAAAGTTAGTGATTTACAAATTGTTAATGATCATTAGGTACCTTATTCTCTGTTTTTTTTACGATTGAGAATTGAGATTGAGAAACGGCTAGTCCTGAATTACTGTTAGTTAAGGTTACCAATTCGACTGAATACATTATCCTATTGAAGCTGCAGTGACGTGGCTTTGTGCTTGTTTGTCAATTGAATGTAAAATTCATGTATTAAAAATCCAGTATACTGACCATTTAAGGCATGTCATCTCACCTTGCCCTCAATCGGTCTTTTCACGACTGAGGAAAATCATGATGGGAATTTAATTTTCTGCATGCAGGATAATAGTCCAATTTCCAAAGAGATTAACAGGACTTCTAAACTTATACCACTGAATAGATATTATATCAGACATAAAGTTTGTGACTTTCGATTCTCAGTAGTCAGGGAATGTAGATATTCCATCATATCGTGGCGAATACCCATCGGGACATTAGAGAGAAAAGAACAAGAAGTTCAGCAAATATGTCTTTTCGGCGATTTCATTCTGAAAAGCTGTACAATCGCATTTATATACATAATTTTACATAGATACAATTATTATTTAATTCCACACAATAACGGAGATCAAAGGTGATAATAATTTTCAATTTGACATGAACGTTTGTGGTGTGAATATAGATTATAAGGGGCTTACAAATAAAATTACACAAGATTAGAAAATAGTTTTTAACGAATACAGATGTAAATGGGATGAGCATGGAAAAAAATTGGGATAATTTTTATAACTGAAAATGAAAAAAATAGCAAAAACGGAAACTGAGGAGTGAAACTGAACTAGATCCATGGTGGCTAGAGAAAATCACTTTCAGAGTTTCTGCAGGAAGGGTCTTCATTAGGCAACTAGAGATTCTTCTCTTAAAGATATCTGCAGCTAAGCCTCCCCTGAAGTCCAAATTCAAATATAGTGTTTTCTGTGGTACTGAAGTGCATTATTCTCTTTTTGGATTTGGTTTCATGTTTTTCTTCACGAAATGTGTCGGGTATCCATTTCGAGCCAAGATATTTTTGAGGAATAAGAGCTCTTCTTCTAGGCAGTTACTGCTACAAATTCTTCTGATTCGGGGGGCCAGTGAGATGATGAGAGCTCTTCTTCGACTGACATGCATCCAACTATAGAGGTTTGTCAGTTGGCCATACCATGATGGCTTTCTGTGGATAGATGTTTTCAGAGTTCCATTATCTCTTCTTGTCAATTCGACGATTAGAAATGGAATCCTTGATTCATTTTCTAATTCTACTGTGAATTTAATTGAAGGGTGACGATTGTTAAACTGCTGTAAGATACAAATTAAGTCAGAATGATCATGACAGACTATAAAAGTGTTGTGCGAAATTAAATAGTAATTGTATCTATGTAGACTTATGTATATAAATGCGATTGTACAGCTTTTGAGAATGAAATCTCCGAGAAGATGTCTTTGCTGATACTCCATCAGTTTATTTATATCAATAGCAGTTTAGACACTAATCAGTAACGACCTACTAACCAACAAAAGCTAGTGAGTAGTAGTTGTCTGTTCCTTCTTAGTTTAAAATCTTTAAACAATGTAAGCCTACTACTCAGTGAGCAGTTAAACCATGACGAAATGAGCATCGTTACCTACCGTTCAGCCACTGGGTTGGGATATAACTTTCCATGATTTCCAGATATTTCCCATTCACTTGAAGAAGTCTACCGCCAAATCTATGCAAACCGAAAATCTCTTTACGAACAGTAGTTTCCTCTTAATTTAAGAATTACATTTGTATTATAGTACTTTATTTATATGCACACCAGTTTATATCATTTTTATCGAGGATTTGTCTTCACTTATCATGAGATTCATGGTTGCTGGTTTTAAAAAACATAACTTGAAGTCTGGCGAGCCCAATAATAAACGTGACGTATTTTGGTCGGGTAACACGGATGATGGCGCCATCAAGCTTTCCGAACTTCTTGGCTGGAAGGTAAATGTTTCCACTTTGTTATATCATTGTTCACCTATTCACTTGTCGATCTTTTCGTCGATTCTATATCTGTTATTATAACAAGCTGTATGACAAAAATTTGTAGCTCTGATTTGTGGATGATATTGGGATTCCAGTTCTTTTGTCGTTATCATGGATGTGTGCACATTTTTAATAAGTTTTAGTGTGGTTTTTATTTCAGTTCATGTGATTGAGAAAGTGTCGCAGATATGTTGAGTGTATTATTTTGCTCCGATAACTTGTAGCTCTATCGACTTAAGCCTTCGCATCACCATTTTGGCTACATGCCTCTAAATGACGATCTACGGGGTTTTCCTTCATTCGTTCAAATGTTTGACTGTTGAGTTAAAAACAGATGATGATCAGTTAGATTTGATCTGGGATATATTTTCGCGTAGTTGATGAGATTGTCATTTTACACTAAGTTTGTGTTTATTAAAGTTGTGATATCGGAGACGTGGCTCATTAGTTTAGGTACCTGACTTTTAGCTGGTGGGTCCCGGGTAGGAATCCCGTATCGCCTACTCCAGCCTGTCTAAGTGGTTAGTATCATCAGCCCTTAAGCAATATGTGTGACTGGTTGCTCGGTGCATGAAAGACCTGTTTCCGTAACTGAGTTTAAACCTTCACTGCAAGTTTGGGAATGACACAGTTCCGTGTTTGTGGACATAACATCTAGTTACTTCATCCGAAAATTGAACTCTTCACTCTCATAACTAAAGCTCCTCTGTTTCAATATCATTTTTAGTACACCATGATAATTATCGTTGTATGTGATTGCCACTTCAGCTACTGCCTTTTCGTGTTCGTGTGAAATCCTTACTCTGTTTGCCTAAAGTTTTACGGATTCTCCTATTACGAAAACAAATTGTTTACCATTAGATGTTTGAGCGGACGGTTACGTTATGTCTACAGATGTCACTGGAGCTGATCGTATTTGCAGTGGAATGCGCTTACCGCCCTTCATTAATTGACATTGTGGTCAGGTGAAGATATGCTTTACAAAATCATCTCTCACATTTGCTTTGTTCTCGCGATACGCATGGGAGCCATTTAGTAGCATTTTTGAGTCAACTTGCGATAGAAATGTTTCGGAATGACAGTTTCTTGGCTTTCCATCAGTGTTTTCCATAAGAACTCCCTGTACACATTTATTTTTAATCTATCTCTATAGAATCTGCTTTGTTTTTCACTAGTCGAGAAAATACAAAGCTCATGAATTCAAACCATTATGGTAGAAGGTCATGTTCCACTGCTCCTGTTGATGTATATATAGCCGGATTGTATTACCGATGCCCACAAGGCTATTGCCATTAGGTAACATTTTCAAGTATTTTATCTTACTATGTGGCTACTCCTATTACTCGATGACCACTCCAGTGCGCTATGTTTGCGAGTTATATCAATATTAAATACTGCTTTTTATAAACGTTTTCCGTCTTTACATACAAATAGGTCGGTCGGTCGGTCGGTTTTCGACATAGAACTTTGCACATATGTGCGGCAGGCGTAATACATTGTATCATTGTATTTTCTTATTTTTAGAATTGGTAAATCTCAAGCTAACTAAGTCTTGTTAAAATTGTCTTACTTCATGTTAAGAATTTCTGCATTTACCTTTCAGAGTGATCTACTAAAGCTCAAGGAGGAAACTGATGCTCGTATAACTGCAGAGTTGGGAGCGAGGAAGTCTCAAAAGAGTGTTGCCGCATCGTAGTTAGCCGAATATGATTGAAATTCTTTATTTTGTTCACCTTCATATTACTGATTTTAAGCCCCATATGGCATTCCTTTTTTTCTTTACTCTATTTTGAATACAGTACTTTTATTGCTCAAAATTGCTTTGTTTCAGTTTACGATGACAGATTTGTGTCATGGTTCTTTTTCTCCTCATTTTGTTACTTTAAAAAAAATAATATTTCACATGTTAAATGATTGGAGTTTCATGGTTTTGTTCTAGGTGGTTTGTCGTTCTTTTAGGGAAGATTGACTGCATTTTACAACAGATTTCATTTGTTTTGACTTCATTTCACTATGTGACATTCCCTTGTACATTAGCCAATGAACTGACAAAATGACGCCTAGCTTAGGACGTATCGGGGTTTGAAGTCGTCTTTCAGAGATATGTACTTCGTCATCTAACTTTCAGAACTTTTAAAATAGATATCTAACTTCCTGGCTTTGCGTTACAGTGTTATGTTATCCGCTTTTTGTCCTACTATTGTCCTTTTTACATTTCGGCCTGGTATTTGCAGGGATAGCAATCTTACTATTAGGTGCTGACTTACGTTTCTGGTCATCGTGCATTGCACCAATAATGCATTTGCAATTATGGACGACAATCCTAAACGTATTAGTAGTAGGCCTGGAAAAGATGGTGTGAGGATAGCGACTCCACTTCATAGAACGACACCATTGCTACAGAAACTTTAGTCTGGAAACACAGGAGAATGATGATAAATCATGGGCTTTAAGAACTACATTACGTCATATCTTCGGACGAGACGGTTAGGAAAATGTTGTCATACGTTATCGAGAAATTCATCTCAATAGAGCTGGGGCTAATTGGAGAGTTTTTCGAAGATTTAATGGAATTTCGCTCTTCTTGCAGAGGGACTAATGGCATCCGATGAATTTCACTGAGCCCAGTCTAACAAAATGCCTAGAATTAACAAGTAGCAAATGATGTTTATTTAATATCGCTTCCAGTATACAGATAGTGTGTGAAGATCTTTGAAAACGACTCATTAAAAAGGAATGGTATCACGTTTCTACGTTGAATTAGTCATCTGTATATAAGCCTGTGAGCACCTTCATCTAAATTTCCAAATCAAACATATTATTTCCCTAAATCCATTAGGACAATCGCGTTAAAGTTTTTTGAACCAATAAGACTTTCACTCAGCTTTAATCATGATGGTATGCATGACTATGCATTCTGTATTAAATTGAAATGACAGGTCAGCAAAGAATATTCCTTTCGTAACTTCTCTTCAAAGGTCTACTATTAAATAAGTATTGTTAAAGGTCCTGAGAATGCTAATAGAGGTCACTTATTAAAATCTGTTGAGCCTACATGTCAGGAGGAAAAGATGGATGAAGATGGATTCCATACCAAATTGTTGTACGATTGAAAAAAAGTATAAGAAAGTGAAAGGAATTGGACAAACCGCTTCCGGATACATAGTTCGGGGATTTTGTGAAGAGATTTAACGTGGTTTCTTTTTCTACTTATTGGAGCAAATCTGTAGAAGTTAGTCAGCTGCCCGTCCGATCTCTGTTCGTAGCCAGTTTACTTCGAAAGGCTAATTCTTACTTCTGATATAACTTCTAAGCGTAAAACGAATTGACCGATGAGTATTATTAAGTACTTGACGAATTTCGCAAATTCTAAGTGCAATAATCTATTGACGAAGGAAGAGAGAATTTTGTTTAGGTCAACATTTTCATCGACAACGGTGAAAACACCATCCATATATCGTTCATAGACTTTGTACTGATTTGTAGCTAGTTGTAGGGTATTCGGTAGTAGGTGTCCCATGAAATAATCAGCAAATAAGAGACCAAGTGGCAACCCTATAGCTACTCCGTTCTTCTATCGACATGTTTCACTATGAAGTAGGGATTGGATATCGATTGTGCATCTTAGTATTTGCTCCTGAATTTATGTAGTAGGTATTTAAACATTCAAGTAATTTTGATCAATAAATTAACGTATTACATCGTTTCTGTCAGAGTCAGGTAGATGATCATGGAGACAATATATAGTGGAGTTGTGGCCATGCCAGTTTCGTTTATCTAATTTATTGAACTCGGAAAAACCAGTGTAAACAATATCTTTTTAACAGGTTCCAAAATTTCTGCTAGCTACTGAGCCATGTGATGGTAGTGTAATCTAGACGTATCTAAAAGTAGACGCATGGATAACACTTCTTCATGTGTATTAGACAAACCATAAAGACGTGAAATTATTGAATGTAAAGGTTTAATTCTTGCAAAACAATCAACACTGATCGTTGAATTTTCGTTTACTTTGAAGAAATATTTGTTAATTGTTATCTGTCCTCCTAACTGGCTTGGTGAACTTTCGTCATCATTGAGTATTGTTGACATTCATCCTACGTAATCTGATTTGTTTGACAAGACACCACCATTCTCTGGAGGTGCGATGACCAAATATGTATTGTTGATTAGTTCTGTCATTTCGATGATGTAATGCTTGATTAGAAGTCGATGTATCTGCTTTGAATTTTTAATTTCTAGACAGCATTCAAGAACATGAGATTTGAAGAGTTGTTATTCTTCATGACGAAGCGGATGAACTGTATAAGGTGGGTGGACTTTGTTAGATGTTTAGTGACATAACATGGTGTTAAGTGATAAAGCGTGGGAATGCATTGTTAGAACTGTAGCTTTTGAGAAATTAAGAACAAACTCTTCCGCATTGAGTGGGGATTTAACTGGGTTTATAGTGCAAAAATTGCTCCTCAGTTTTCTCTGTGTGTTATTCACTGGTGGAAATAAAATATCAGAAATAGGTATTCACTTCGTTCAACAATAGATAAATCACACCAGTGAACAACTTTTCGCGTTCAAGTTACGTTACAAAATGGATTCATTTGAGCATAGTTCACTGCAAAATGGTTCAGACTTCCATCGTGTGGACACATATCAAGTCCACAACGAGCATTCGAGAAGTATTTCTGACAAATTCAATTTATAATAAAATATCACAGAAAAAACATCTGAGACTTTCCTTCGGCATATTTGACAGAAAGGTAGAGAAGATAATGATCCTAGGGAAATGCACTGTCAAAGTGGTGAATCTGCAGTTCTCCATCCTTTCAATATAGACACTTAGTAAGCCAAAGTAATTCCATGAATTTACAGTTGGGTGAAGGTATCAGTCAGTATCTTACCGTTGGCATCAGAAAGCAGATTGAAGGTACTTAAGAAATCAGCACCACATATAGTGTGACGAACGTCATGTGGAACGGTGAAACAGACCAACATTCAAGACCAGTGATTGCTCACCATAGATCTGTATGTTAGTTTGGTTAGCAGTACGAAACGGCGTTTGTTCGGGTGTGTATGCAGGTCGCCTTGATAGCGAAAGGAGAATAAAGCGGGTTCCGGTTCCTGTATCTATCAAGAATAAAGTCCCCGTGTCTCACGTAAAATATGCGAATCGGAGTGTTGCCGACAACAGACGTTGCAATTATTATTTAGCTTAGGAGTTTCTTCGAGCTGGTATATTCTCAGTGAAAGTACAGTCTGCAGCTCTATGCCCGAACTTCCTATGGTACACAGATTCTCCGTGTCTTACTAGGTGTCCGAACAGTTAATTTGTTATGTGACTGTGGGTGACTAAGACGCAACTAAGTATTCGAGACAGCGACTTTCACGTCAGCAACTTTTGCTATCAGTGACGGATTTGTAGGCTGTCATGGTGTCTATCTGTCGTGATTAACAGTGAGTATTACCCGTAAGTCCCAAAAAGGCAATTATTTATTTGAAAGCCAACAGAACAGCCAAAATGAATCAGAACACATCGTGAGAGCGAATGCGTACGTTTAGCACACTGACCTCATTGGAAGTTGCATTATTAGGGAAGTGTACATAGCAGATAAACAAACACCAGGTTTTAACAAGAAATAAGCAAAATATTATTGCATTTACTTGCTGTTGACTGAATCGGTATTTTCTAAATATGTAATCAAGGCAGTTTCGGTGATATTGGTACGTCGTAGGATGCATTTTCACTGGAGGTAAGATTGTCATAGTAATACAATCCTTGGTTCAGAACAGAATAGTTCAAGAAAGGTGTGTCCACGACATGTAATTTGCACATCCTGCAGTCGTTGTCTCAAGATAATCAAGTCATGGTTAGTCGGAAGTTTAGGAGGTGTTGTGTTATATCTTTTGTATTTCGTTAGATAGATATGCTGCAAGAGAGGCTAGAAAGATAGATTACACTTCTCAATTCAAGACAGGATTCCAGTTTATTGAAGTGTTTCAAATGTAGTTGCTGATTCACTTTTTTGGAGAGAAATAAATGAGGTGTAAACCACATCTCCACAGTTGGATATCATCCCTTAGCAAGTGGTCTAGTAGAAGAATTCCGCATGTAACTGAAAAGTCCCATGGTGTGACATCATAGAAACTTTAAGTGAAATGATCACGTTTCTTTGCTACTGACTACCTTATGGAGGATCTTTGCGGATACTTAGCCGTGCAGATTACTTCTCCACAGTTAACAAAAGTAGGGAAGAAGAAACAGACTTCGTAGATGGAATAAAGTCAACATTTACCACCTGTGAATATGAAACTTTTTCTACATCTATATATGCACATACTCTGCGAATCCAGTATTACGAATGCCTATTATTATTACTATTATTATTATAATTACTCCGTTGGGTTCCGAGTGGAGCATAGGGCTTCAAAAGCACACCTGCACTTTTTCCTATTCTTTGTGGTTCTCTTCATCTGGCTCCACGGTTTCCCATAAGCTATCAATTGCTTCTCACACGATCCTCTTCATGTCACTCTCAGACGCCCCACACGAGGGTCTAGCGCTCGATGTTACCCAACGGTCTCCTCGGCGTGTGTCTGATCCACGCCCATTTTCTTCGTCATATTTTCTGAACAATAGGTTCTTGATCGGTTCATCCCCAGAGTTTCTTGTTTCTGATTCTTTCTGACCGGCTATCTGGT